AAAAAAAAAAATCCACAAAAAAAAAAAAAAAAAAAAAAAAAAAAAAAAAAAAAAAAAAAAAAAAAGAAAGGAAAGCAGTTTTGGATGGGTTTTAGTATTAATGTAAATTAATTTTGCAAGGACTGCCTATCAGGGCAGAGAATATACTGAGAGTATAAATGAAAAACAGCTTACTAAAACTCTGGACAGTCCTCAAAAACCAAAAACCTGCCCATTCTGTGCCAGTTAACATGATGGTAAGCATGAATAAATAAAACCAATATTAAACCTTTAAACTATTTTTTATTTTGTCTAAGCTTTCCATTGTAAACATTACCTGCATAGATTGACATCATTTTCTCTCTCCATTATGTCATCCACTGGTAAACAGGACTCTGATCTCTCTTCCTCTGTAACAGCAGTCTCATCTTGGTTTTCTTCAGTAACGCTACTCAGTTTTTCTCTACAGGTGGTATGACCATCATTGTTTGCATCACATACCACTTTTTTTTCTGCTAATGAATAAGAATTACATCGATTTGGACATTCTGGGCAACATCTTAGAATTCCAATTCTCGAATCCTCACTACAGTGAAGCAAGAGTTAATTTAAGACAAAAAATCCCAGTAGAAAATGTGTAAGTATTAAGATTTAAGAGACCTGTTCTCTTAAAATAAAATGTTTAGATTTAGTATGAAAGCTGATTTTGAAAGGCATTGTTCCACAACCTCCCAAGGCAGATCAGTGATATAAATCAAAACCCAAGTTCTCGTTTTTAAGTTTGCAATGTCTTTATATAAAATTTATATTTGAACATTTGAAACTGAGCATTTTTGCCTCTTACTTTTCTCAGATGATTTCCCTTCTTCAGCTATTTTTGAAGGTACAGCCATTTCTTCTGGAAGATTCTCCACTTCCTGTTCAAGATCATCTTTTCGCCTCTTCTTTCTCTTCTTTTTTGCTAACGCTGGCTCTAATGCAACCTGTTCTTCTGCCTGTTCAGAAATGCCCAAAGATTCCTCATTTTCTTTCTCAGCTGTCACAGCATCTGCTTCTGCATCAGAAATTCTGGCTTCCTGAAGATCATCTTGATCATTAACAGCTTCTGTGCTGGCAGCTTTTGCTATTGAGACAATATGGTTCCTGGTTAATAGACTCATGGAGTATTAGGAGCCATAAATCACAAAGATACTTCCACTAGCAACGTCTTGTGAATTCATACATCACTGCCAATATACTGCCATGAGCAGGACCTTGAGAAGTTAGTCACTGACTTAACAGAAAAGCTTCAGCATAGATTAACTTCAACACTAAATGCAAAACACATTCTGTACATGAGACAACGCTTCACTAGGGTAAAGTCAATTTAGAAAGCCAATTTAGTAAATGTTCTTGTTCCTATACTTTTTAGCAGGCTACACAGTCACTTCTGGATCCAGGAAAAATGGGCATTCCTGGCTATTCCTGAAAAGACTTATCATATCTCTGAAGAAAGAGGAAATGACGGTTGCAGAAAGTATGCCATGAAAAAGTAATTTTGATTAATAAATGTATTGTAGTTAATCATTCTTATTTACCTAAGAAAGCTGAATTATTATCTACCTAATAATTCACAAGTTCTTTTCTCTGGGTTTAACAAGTTTCTAAAAGTCTCCTCCCTCCCCTTTTCAGGACATTTTGTCTTGATCCTGTATTTATGCAGAATGTCAACCACCAAGAACCTTTCCCTGTCCTTTTTATTATTTTTATATGAACTTGGTCTGCTGTAATTAAGAAATCCACAATGCATGAGAAATAGAAAAGCATACTCACATTGCTTTACACATTAAGTACCTTTAATCTACCATTAAAGTCTACAACAGAATTTCTATATGTGGCTGTGAGTCCTAATAGGTGGGACATTTTACTTAATCAAATCTGAAATCAAGGCTATAGAAAAGCAGCAACTATGTCAATTTTAAGAATTAAAGAGTGACATTGCTTCCTAGCTAGCATTCCCTTTAAAAGGTTGTTCACTTGTTTGTTCCACAATACCACTTACAAGAAAATGGGGTTTTGTGGAACAAACAAGTGAACAATCCCACAGAATTAGCAGGGAGTTTATGAAATGGTGTCAGTATAACTGTTTTTAATTTAAGCACAGCTATGAAAGGTCCTTTCACAGGTACTCGGGTAATAAGACACTACATGGTGATCAATAGTAATTAAACGTAATCTTTATCCTTTATTTTCAACAGACCAAAAAACTAAAATAACTTTTATAAGACTCCCTGAAAAGAATCACACCCTTCAGACTTAGAGATTCAAACTATAATTAAAGGAGAAACAGAACCCTTAAGAGAAAAGGGTTTTAAATGTAAGGAAAATTCAAATTAGAAGTCACAGAAGAGCTTGCAAAAAATATGGTTTTCGCCCAAGGATTCTAAAAGTTAATTTGCTAGCAACTCATGGAGATACTTATCAACTCTCAAATTAGAATATCCCATTTAGAGTATCAGTGCTTCATTCTGTGGAAGAGCACTAATCTCAGTGTGGTCTCACATTCCTGCCTAGAGAACACGCACCTCAGGAAACCAGCTGCTACCAATTATTACCATCCTGCACATCAGTAAACAACATCTGAAAAATTATGCTATGAAGCCATTGCCCTGTCCAGAACAGGGAAGGAAAACACTCCCTACGTGATTTTTTCCTCTGCTAGCAACAGCATTACAGAGCAGTGGTCAGTAATATATCTCAAGCATTCTTTTGAAGTACCTTTTGTCTTCTTCCGAGGCCTTGACAGCTTCTTTTCCTTTGGCTTCTGGCTTTTAACAGTCTTTTGCTTCCTCTTTTCCTCATCTGCTAAGACCTTCTCAAGCAGCTGGGCAAAGAATTCAAAATCAAAGGGCCGCTTTTCTTCTATCAGATTAAAGCAAAGAAATAAGAAAATATTTCGAACCTGGTATTTTTTCCAAGTTTCTGCTTTGTAAAATAATCAGTGGCACATATTATGATATAAAAAAGCAACGGTTATATAAATTGACACAGGTAATTCTTTTTGAAAATACTTTCTGTATCACTTGAGCAGGGACTAGAGTTGACATATATATGGATTATGGTAGCTTGGTTTTGAAAAACAAATGGTAAAAAAATCATAGCACTTAGTAGTTTAGGAAATTTGAGAAGTGACAAATACGTGAATTGTACCATAGTTTCAAATAATGTATTAACATGCTGATCTAGGACTTATGTAGCTCATCCAAATAACACACAAAGCTTTTAAGGATTCTCAAAGCAGTTTACAGTAAGTAACTGTACTAGAAATTCCCATGAATCAGAATAATCTTCAATTGAATATATATATATAGAAAAGTTTATATTAATCTCATTTATCAGACATATAGAAAAGCCAGAAATTAAACCTGAAGATCTTTACTGTGAACCATGCTTGTTATAAAAAACTTAAGACTCCCCAGCTTCTGAACTCACCTATGAGCAAAAACTTTTCCTTATCATTAATTCAAGCAAGGCAAAGTACAAAAATTACCATGAAAAAAAGATGACTACCATTTAATGACTCATTGTAGGGTGGGGTACATTTCCTTTACTTACTGAAAGCTTTGTCTATCCTCCATCCATTAGCTTTTTCCTCACGTTTGAACTTATTCTGAAAGCAAAGGTATATTTGTCTTTTTTAGTAAACAAGAAATGCAATATATTGTACAAAATGGCAGCTCAAGATAAGCCTTCTTCAATGCAACAAAATTTTCTACAAACTAAAGTTGTTAATATTTACAAGCACACTCACAGACCATAAGTTCGTAATTAATTTTTAAATATAAAATCTGTCACCAATTGATATCACCAGTCATAATTTTTTATTATTTTCAGTATCTTTGTCCTTACTTCCAGTGTAAACAGGGTTTGAAATATCAAAGGTTTTCCCAGCCAGATACCAAGGAAGAAGCAACACAGAAGACCCTCACCAAACATCTACTTATGCTTATCAGCATTCTTCAATTAAAACAAAATCGAGACAAACCGTGTCTAGGTATGCTAGACTTACTAGATATGTCGATCGGAATTCATCCCAGCATATTAATGTTTCTGATACTTACTACCCCTTGGAAACAGGTATTAAAAAAAGCAATTAGCATCAAAATTATCAGTATTAATAAAGGAAGCATAGGAATAGCAAATGAGAACCAGAAAAGTGAAAACAGATGTTTAACTGCTTTACTGAGTGCTTTAATTTTTACCTTAATTTCTGCTCTGGCTCTATGAGGAAACAGCCGTCCAATCAAGGAGAAGTCTGTTCCTACCATACTGATAGCTAAAAAGAACATGTCTGTTTCTGGAGTGGGGGTGGGGAAGAAAGAGAAACACACACTTAAGTATTTAATTAACCATCCTTCTTGCTATCTAAAATAAAAACACCTTTTAAACTTAATGCAATGAGATCAATAACTTTAAGGTTATCTACTGCGGCTGCAAATTCATCTGAGCTGGGGTGTGTGTGTTATTTCACCTAAGTACCTCTAAAGAGATTTGCTGAATGAACTAGTAACAGAAAGAACTGTCTAACCTATTACAAAACTGCAGAATGTGAAATACATTTTGTAAAGCTAGTAAATCAAAGCTAACCAACTCCAAAGTGTCAATGTTCTTTTTTATTATGGACAAAACCACAAACAGAAATCAGAAAAAAGGATGTGTAAAAATACCATCTCCGTTATTATTTGTTAACAGGAAAACAGTGCATTCCAAAAGCAGCACAGTGAATTCTGAAGCTAATTTTTCCATCTACAGTTGTAGAAAAATATTTCCAATTGTAAAAAGTCTTGCACAGTGTTGTCAGCCTAGAGATAATAATCAGTTTGCAGCAGGCATAATAAAAAACCACAACCCACCCACTCATAAAAACACAGCTGTCCATGTGCACTGAAATCAGCCCACATAGAGATAGCTTATATAATTTATTCCTTCCCATGCTGGAAGAACCAAGTAAAGAAGCTGTTAAGAAGTGCTAACTGTTCCATATAGAGCTCAAAATCTGGACACCGGAATCCAAAATGCCGCTTTTGATAAGAGACTAGCGTTTCCACAGCATCTAAACGTCCATGACAAATTCACAGGTAGCCAGCATATCATAAGGCACTGGATTTTTTAAACACGCTGATTTTCACAATAAACATCAGAGCTCTGCTTGTTGTAAGAGTTTAGAGGGTTGAGACCATGTCACACATAAGTAGATCCATTTACTCCACTGGAAATAAAAATTGAATACAAAGCATAGACGGAAAACTAAGATTTTTTCTGCAGACTCAAACCTTGAAACCAAAAACATACTCACCTTTATTTGACCACGGTTTAGTGTAAAAACTCTTTCTGAAGCTAGAATATGTAGTTGTAGAGCCACGCTCAAAGATGGGATCATTTTCTTCTACAACACATGGACCTTTTGTTCTTAGAACCTCCACAGTTAAACTGAAAAGCAAACACACAAAGAGACTTATCTGAAAATATCTTATAAGACACATAGCAGATGTTTAAAAGGCAGCTATTCAGATTTTTCCTGCCACAAGTCAGAGTTTGTACTGTGTAACCAGGTTTACTGATTACATTAACATGTATTTTAATAGGAGAATGCAGCAATAAATCATTATCCTATTCAGCCTGTGCAACTAAATTTGCTTTTCTGTTTTTCTAAGATACAGTACAGACAGACATAATTAAATACCTTAAAAAAAAAAAAAAGATTGTCTTTTTAACATTCAAGAAAATTATTTTGCAAAACCACAAGAGCCTCTCCATATCCTTTTAGAACACTTTTCAATTCTTTTACTGGGACTGCTCTATCCTTACACCTTGGCCTAAATCTGACACTAGTAATACATTTGGGGAACTCAAACATTTGATAATCTAATACCTTAAAGAAGGCATATTCTCAGCAAAGTTACTGAAAAGACTGATAGCTAAACAAAGCGGCAACGTGCAAGATGCAAAGACACAGCAAATGATAGTGACAACTGAGTAACAGTAAGTAGACACACGCAACTGTGAAAAATGAAGTTAACTAAATAGAAGACATTTGGAAGTTTGACAAATATTCAGTATTCATTCACTGTAATAAAATAAGACATGTTCCTCTCCATCTCCTTCTCCAGAAACATTTTTCATAGAGAAAGTTTGACACTGCTGAGATGCAGGTAACCGCTGCTCACATTTTGCCACATATTTGCACTGTTTCCTAAGTTAGGATAGTTCAACTCTCAACACATAAATGCACTCACATTTGTCCCCATCCAAAGTAACTGTTCTCTTTTCACAGACTAAGCAGCAAGGTAATACATACTGTCCATGAGTCAGGCTCAGAATTTATTACCTTTCTTCATCCAAAATAATTGAGCCATCTTCTGCTACTTTCACACGGGGAGCTAGAAGTGGACCATCCTGACTCTCTTCCCCATTCTCTGCTTCTTCCTCATCTTCTTCCTCATGATCAGGAGTATTCTTCTCTTCCTGTCTACAATTTTAAGAGACCAAGCAAAAACATTACTTTTGTTAGTGTTTTGAATTGCTGCTCTGTATGCCAGACATTCAATGATTTAATGAACCACCCTGCAATACAACCCATCAGCAAGTTAGTCAACACAAACTCTGGAATATGCTTTTCATTCTATTGTAAAATGAACAAATCCAAAACCATATTGAAAGCAAACCGCTTTTTAACCACCCTCCCCTCCCAAATTACAATTTGTTATAAATAAGGGCTGTGATATTGAAACAGAAAAAAAATACCTACACTGTTAGTATTACCACAGAAACATGGTTTTTTTTTTAAAAAATACCAGAAGACTTTTTGACTATAAGTACTTCCATAATCAAGACTTACTCTTTCATTTGACCCAGTGCAGAACTTTTTTCTGTTCTCTTTTCTTCTGCCAGGGAAGACCTACAATTTTATAAAAAGCTAGAGATGAACGTTTGTACAGATACATTTCTGCTTCATTCCACAAAACCTGCTTTTAGTGGATAATGGACAAAGAAACAAGGCTTTTTTTCAATTCTTTGTACGACATCTAGATTTGAGTCCAACTGAACAACCACCACTGCTTTTTTGATTTTTTTTTTTTTTTTTGTATAAGCAAGGACAAAAAAAGATATTTCAAGCAGTAATCCATTGTAAGGGTGCAGGGAATGCAAGACCACCTGGTTCAATACCTGCTTAAGTGTAAAAGAAAAAAAACCAAGGAAAGTGATAAGTAAAACACACAAGCACACAAACTTTAACAAGCTGGTGATAACAGACAATAACAGAAAACTCATCTGCTACTGAGAGGAAGAACAGGACTTGGATAGCTGTACTTATGTGTATGTGATTATTTTTTCTAGTTGCAGGTAAAAGGCCCTGCTCTGTCTGTGGTTGCCTGTGTATGCGCACCTCTGGGATGCTCACTCAGCCTTGCTACTAGCAAAACCTGTAAAGGGAACAGTAGCAGCTACATCCATCCAGCTGGAATGGAGAGACCTTGTGGGTCTTGCAGTGCATTTTGCACTTCAGCACCTAGGAAGGAGAAATGCTTAGCTTCCTGTAGTCCACTAGATTTGGCTACTAGTCATAACATCCCTAGAAGCCATAACTAAAAATTTAACAGCAGCTAGTGTCAAAAAATAATATAAAATTTCTATTATTCTGCATTTGTACAGAGATAAATCAACCTGGGAACAGGTTCATGTTTTTATATTTCAACAAGTACCCTAATCTCCATTCTCATTTCTGTATGAAGATTGAGCAGACGTGAAAATATCTAGAAGCTTTTGTTACCATTGCAACAATACTGCATCTGTGCTAATACTCCAGATTTAAGAATTCTCCTTTTCACAGTTAAATTGGTAGAAAGAGAAAAATCATTTAACCTAAGGAGAGAGAAAGAGAATCATACTTACTTCATAGGATTGTTTTCTGGCAGATAGTATATCAAGTCTCTCATGGTCATTTTAGAACGATCTGGTGGAGAATGTCCTTCAGTTATTGGAGGTCTGTGTTTCAACTGTTTCCATATATATAAAAAAAACCAAACTTTAATTCATGCTGAAAGTACTTTATGTTTCACAAATGAATATTTTTCTTTGTTTACAAAGCACTCCATCCATGGAGTTTTGTTGCTTCCCCACCCCCAACAACTGAAATAAGTTTATCTTAATGTCTCACTTTGTCAAAGAGGATGCCACAGACCCTTAAGTGACTTACCCTCTCAGAGAAATTCAATACTTGGCACAAGTAGAAGTGAAAAGCTATTCAAAATTGCAGAACTCTGTTGTCAACAATCAAGTGGAAAAGCTTACAGCATACTTCCCCATTGTATTACCAACTGTGAAACTTTTGCAATTGGAACGTTGACTATAATATAATAGGAGGTCTCATGTCAAAAAGGCTTGTGGGTCTAATCAAATGAAAAGATATACAATTTCTTGTGAAATCTGTATTACAAGGGAACACTGTGCTACTACTGCTTATAAATAGACTAAACCCATACAGAGTTATGAGATATCATAGACTACTAGCAATAAGCAGCTGATGATCATCAGAAAACGCAACTGCAAAGAGATAACATATGTTAGGTGAATCACATGTCTTTGCCTTTCACAGATCAGCACTGCTCAACACAGAGGCCTACCATCCGCTCCTTCTTCAGCTCTTCTTTAAGCATTTCTCTTAACTTCCGAGCTTTGAGGATCCTTTCACGGTCAGAACACGGTCGTTTCTCTTTTACAGTAGCAGGTTTCACAGGTAGCTTTTCCTCCTGTGCTCCTGATCTTTCCTGTGTTGGTCTCTCCTTGAGTGGGGAGGGTACATTCTTCTGCAAGGTATCATCATTTTTTTGAGCAGCTACACCTACAGTTTGCTCTTTGTTCACCGATTTTTTTAGTGGGGAAAACTGTGGCACTTGTGGCACAGGTGTTTTCTTTTCGGGCAGCATGGGAGACTTTAAAGAGCTTTCAACATTACTCTTTTCTGATGGAGACGAATCCTTCTGAAGTGAAGCACTGCCATCAGGAGCCTGTGATGCTCGCCTCTGCGGCTTTGATGCAGAACACTGAGCAGATGAAGGTCCAGCTCTGGGTTTGACAAGATTGGGCATGGTGGAGATCCGTTTTCTTCTCTGCGTAGGCATCTCTGCAGGTCTACTAGCTTCTCTGGCATCATTTGAGCTATCAGCCGTGTCACTGCTGGAAAATTAAAAGAGTATCCTGAAATACTTTACCAGTGAGAGATTTGTAACTCTTACTTTCAAGGTATGTTTATGTACCACTCACTATAAATATAATGCCATAGGAAAATACAGTTATATACAACCAATCTGTAGCTGGTACTTTCTCATAAACTAATCAGCTTTAAGAACTGCTATGTTATTTTCTAATCTTAATTACTACTAATGTTACTGTTACAAGCTAGCTGACCAATAACACTAAACTCACATGTTCCTTCCCCCCTTGCTGCCCCCCCCCCCTTTTTTTGGGGAGGCTCTCTACTTTCAGCTGAGAATACCAGATATCATAATACAATAAAGCTTTATAAAAAATAACCCACATGATATAGGTGACAAAAACATTTTAATAAAGCTATATGCAACAAGTAATTTGATGATTTTTATTACAATCAATCTGAACATTCCTCTTAACACATTTTCAAGTAGATGATATGTGTACTGTGAATTAAAAAAAAAATTCAGCAGTCAGACTGGCTGCTGTTATTCTACTGCTCACACTTAACACATCAAAAGTAGCCTTTTAGAAGCAACAAGTTTTAGCTTCCCTGGAAAGCTTTCTTATTTAAGTATTTTTTCCATCCCTTATGCAGAAAAAATTTTCAAAGTTCAAGCAAAATTGCCAACCATTATTATGATCTTCCTCAATCTGCAGACTCCTTCAGTGTTTGGCTCCTTTGGCTGTTGCTCACAGTAAGACTGCAGCAGAATTATAACTGAGTCATAAAGACTTTTTTTTAAATTTTACATTGTAACTATGCCTTGTTTCTGTACATAAAGACAGCCACACCCATGGTTCACTTAGCCATCTTCTAAAACAGTCAGAAGCACATGCCTTTGAAGGAATATAAGAACAGCATAAACATACAGTGAAACTTTTCCAAATCCTTTCCAGCTACTGTCTGCAACTCAGGCAAATGCTGCAGATGATGTTTTTGTCTGTAACAGCCTCTGTTAAATGCCTGAATCAATTCGTCTCCCACTGAGTTCATATACATTTTTAGTACGCAGAACATCCCTCAGCAAGGAGTTCAGCAGCCTTACTACATGGTGCCTGTCTGTGTGTTTTGGATGAGACCCTTGCGAGTTCCATTCAATACCTTCTGGTTTTTGTACAGCAAGAGACAGTAGAAAGTAATTCTTCATTCACCTTCTCCACACCACCTGTGGTTTGTGGAGTTTTAATCAGAGCTCCACACCAGATTTTTGAACAGTTAAATACATCTTAGCAGCAACTCTATTAAAAAAAAAATAATCTCATGCTCAGAGAATTTTCATTTCCCTGGTAATCAGCAAAACCCATTCAGCATTCAGAAAACAAAGCAAAGGAAAGTAACTGACACTACAGATACAGGTTTGAGCAGCTATGAAGAAATGCCTTAGGCTGGAAGGAAAAAGATATTTTCACGTTGGCCTTTACTTTTCTTGCAGACCACACAACAAACACATTGTGCTGTATGTCACCAATTACTGCACTTAGGAAATCAAATTGTGTGACTTCCCTCAAACCTACTCTTCCTCAATCTTCAGAGACACCCAGGTGGCCAGTCTTTAAAATGCATCATCTAGAAAGAGAGCTCCCCAAGAAGCTAATACTGCCCACTCTGCAATAAATCCCTAGGCCTGCTTTCTCCTATTTGGTTGCTATATGCCTTCAAAAGGGACCAAAAACTTTAAGAACCAGATATTCAGTGGAATGTAGGGTGACCAAATGGGGGCAAGAACAGAGCGGCTTTTACCTGTGCCTTTTCTACTTGTTCCCAGGACTAAAAGTTCCCCTAAGAGTCTCCCAGCAGTTTTATGTTGGGTACTACCTTCTCCCTCCAGCTGAGCTGTGAAACCCACCACAGTACTCCAGCAGTTCACATGTCTCTTCTTCTAAGTGCATCATTTTCCAAACCTGCACTTCTCCAAAGAAGCTCTTTCCCAGCCACATCTCACACATTTCGCTGTGTTGGCAAACTGAAGAGGTTTGTACATTCAACACGAACACAGTCTTAAATTTCTAAGAACACAGTTCTTAAATTTTCATCACAGTCTTAAATTTCTTATAACTGCTATACAGCAGGATGTGGTTTTGTAGGCTTGGGTATGTTCCACATTTATTGAGGAAAATATTTTATGAGCCTGTTACTTATATGGCAATGGTCTATTTTTCAAGTCATGTGAATAGATCCCTTCGAATATTCTTCCTTCAGAATGGCATTGGTGTCTAGTTTTGAAAAGTACAACTAGATTACACTGAACCACCCATTAAATTATAAACACAAAAGTCTTCCATAAATCTGCTGAATCAGCAACAGTACCACATAATTGAAAAATAGCAAATGTATCTTCATTTAAGAAAAAAGTATTGGATAACAAAAGATGCAGTAACATGATCTCTATAACACATAAATTTTATAAATAAAATTTGAAAGAAAAACATCATTATAGCGCAACACAAAACAAGTATAAAAGATGTAAGATACAAGTTGAATGAAAGGCAGCATGGGTTTACTAAAGACATGCCATGCCAACTAGTCTGACCCCTGAATTTCTAGTCACACGAAACAGAAGACTGTAAGAAGACCTTGTACTATGTCACAAAGGACAAGTTTCAACTGAAAGAATAGAGGTATTCATGCAAGATGCAAAACCAACTAGTTAAAAGAAGTAACAAGGTTGTTCTGAAGCAATCATCAGACTGGTTAAATGTCCTGAAGGACTGGTCTGTACTGCTTTTAGCAGGGATAGAGTTAATTTTCTTCACAGTAGCTCATATGGTGCTATGTTTCAGATTTATGACCAAAACAGTGTAGGTAGCACACCATGTTTCAGCTATTGCTGAGCACTGCTTACACAACATCAGGGCCTTTTCTCACGCTGCTACCCTGTCAGTGAGTAGGCTGCAGGTGCACAAGAAGCTGGGAGGGGGACACAGCCGGGACAGCTGACTCCAACTGACCCAAGGGATATCCCATACCACCTGGTGTCATGCTCAGCAGTAAATGCTGCGGAAAGAAAGAACACAGGAGGACATTTGTGGTTATGGCATTTGTCGTTCCAAGTAACCACTACATGGATGAAGCCCTGCTTTCCTGGAGATGGCTGAACGCCTGCCTGCTGATGGGAAGCGGTGAATTAATTCCTGATTTTGCTTTGCTGGCATGTACAGCTTTTGCTTTACCTATTAAACTGTCTTTATCTCAACCCACAAGTTTTTGCACTTTTGCGCTTTTGGTTCTCCACGCATCCCACAGCACGGGGCGGGGGGGGAGGTTGGGGTGCACAAGGAAACAGCTGTGTGGGGCTTTGCTGTGAACCAGGGTTAACCCACAACAGGGAGGTCCTGAAAGACTGGTCCTAGGACCAACCTCATCATGCCTTTGCATTGCAAGAAAAAGCACTTAAAAAATTAAACAATCAAAAAGGAAAAACCAAGAAAGTTCTCCCTCCCTATTGCATGAAGAAGTGAATACAAACCAGGAAGTGCTCCAAGAATGCAACATCAAAGTCATCCAGTTACAGAGCGCAAAGAATTTTTGCTGCGCACAGCAAACTGGAGCTCCCTGCTGCTGCAATGCCAGAAAAACTGAGTATCAGACCACACTAGGCTCCTCCTTTGCAGTCTTAACTTATATATTATTTCAAGCACCTACAATGCAACCGCAGTAAAGAGATATGGGTTTTGCTTAGGTTGCAAATGCGTCAAGCACCCAGAAGACATTGTCCAATTACCACATACACAACTGTCACTCGGCGCCGACCGGAGGACAGTGCAGCACCTCTGTTTCAGGGGGTCTGCAAGAGGAGACAACTCCAAACCAAAGTAGGGACAACCAGGAGGTGACAGGCCGTGACAACAAGCGTTACAGGAGAGCCTGCTACCGCTACATCCCCAGGGGCCTCCGAAGGCCGGCCGGGGGCGGCTCCCCCCACCTCCCCTAGCCCGTCCCACTCCCAGGGATCCACGGCCGGGCGGCGGCAGCGGCCCAGGCAAGACCCCGCCGGGAGAGCCCTGCGGCACGGCCCACCCCACCCCGCTCCGTACCCGCGGGGCCTCGGGAGCACTCACCTCTCGGCCCGCCGCGCTGCCGGCGGGGCCTC